GCCAGGTGTGAAGATATAAACAGATAAGCTAAAGAGAGAGATCATCTGAGGCTTGTTCCTGCCTGAATGTGATTTCCCCACCCACACTGCTCAGCCCTCTGCAAGGAGAGTAAGCAATGGAATATATAAATTAGTGTTTGAAATTAGGTGCCATTCAAATCACAGAAGTTATGCCTCAAGTTCAGTGAGGGGCGCCTCAAGTCTAGAAAGGTTGAGAACCACTGGTTAGATGTTTAGCACCTTTCTTCGGTTGCCACAGTCCTGTCAGTGGCTGGTGCCATCTCAAGCTTGTTGCACATTGGCCCAGCTGCTGCAGTGGAGCCTCACAGTGCTGCCAGAAACTTGTGGGCATGCACATGCTTTAGCACAGGGGTGAGCAAAGTCTGGCCTGCAGGCCAGATTGGGCCCATGGCAGACTCCATTTCCCAGCAGCCCGTGCCTCCATCACTGTGGCCAGTTTCCATGGATACACCAGCAGCGGCAGGGACAAGATTTCCACGGATACCAGCCCCAGTAACGCTGGCAGGGTATGCGGTTGAACGGGGAGCTGCTCTGGGGCTGGGATTTTGTGGCAGTGCCAGAGTGGTCTGGAGCCAGGGCAGAACTGCAGTCTGCTGCCCACACGCCCCAGGCAGGGGTATGCAGGCAGTGGATTGCAGCTCTGCTCCAGCTCCGGACCACACTGTCACTGTCGCAAGATCCCGGCCCCAGAGCAGCTCTCTGCCCAGCTGCACGCCCTGCCAGTATTGCTGGGCCTGTTTCTATGGGAACCCTTGTCCTGCACTGTCACAGCCCTGCGACTGCTGGTGTCTCCAGGGAAACCAGCACTGCAACATGGGCAGGGGCTGCTGGGATCTGCCATTTTGCCCGCCCTGGCTCTAGCAGCTTGGCATTGGCAGTGGCTATTTGGTAAGTATAGACAAGGCCTGAATTTCCCTCCTGTTTCTGAAAGTGGCCTCTCTATGCCTGGGATAAGAGTGAAACTGGGACAGTGGAGAAGCAGGAAAATGTGGAATGCTGCTCCCTGGGCTTTGCGTTCATTGGAGATGACCCTTCAATCTCCAGAATGCTAATCACTTCCCTTTCAGCAGCATTTAACAAATAAATAAGGTACTTTGGGCCTTGGGTTGTTTTCCTCTGAAGGCTTAACATTTTACCTCCATTGCTGAGCCAAACCCACACCTTACCAGTGCAAAGTGTCAAATTCCAAGCACATACAGGCTAAATATGGCTTTTTTCATTGTGGTTTTGAAGGTTACTTTTGTGTTTTACACTAGATAAAATAAAATGAGCTGGTGATAAAATATCTAAGTCTTTGCTTTGAGGGAGATGCTCATTCTGCATTCCGGTATCAAAATGTTTCCAAAGAGTTGTAGATAAAATGCTACCTTCTTTCGTGCTAATTCTACCACATTGGGCATTACAGACATGCTTTACATGCTGAGAGGAATTGTGCACTGGGGCTGTATAAAGCTTCGGTCGCTGATTTGATTTGGAGATTCGGCCCAATTCGGCGGCCAAATCCGAATTGAATCAGGAGACCCATTAATCTCTCCAAATCAACTCGGAAGTTTCCAATTTGACTCCGAGAGATTTGACAAATCGGCCATAGGCACAGCTTTATATGTTTTGTTTTGTTTTTTTTGTTTTGTTTTTTTCTACATACCTCAAGGTACCAGGTGCAGCTCATGAATGCTGAGATGCTGGGGGCGGAGGAAGCATCCCATGGGAGCACGGGGGGGGTCCCCTGCGTGCTCGGTAGCAGACCCAGAAGTGGACCAGAAGTACTTCCAGTCCATTTCTGGGTCCACCATGGAGCGTGCGGGGGACCTTCCCTTTCCCCCTCCCCCCAGCTCAGCAACTGGTATCTCCTGGGTCTGGAGGGGCACACAGGGTCCCCCTGCAGCCAATTGCTGAGCCAGGGGACCCCAGGACGGGGGTCCCCCCACACTCTCAGCAGCAACCCGGAAGTGGACTGGAAGTACTTCCGGGTCCGTTGCCAAGCACGTGGGAGACGCCCTCCCTGCGCTCCTGTGGGACGCTCCATCCACCCCAGCATCACAGCGTTCATGAGCCACACTTGGTACCTCGACGTATGTAGAAGAAACACATAAAGCTGTGTCTATGGCCAAATCCCTGATTCTCCAAATCGGAATCAAATCTTCAGATTCGGCCGAAACAAATCAGGACAGTGATCCAAATCAGTGAATTGAATCGCTGTCCCCTGAATCGGGCCAAATCCAAATTGGCTACTGCCCGCTTTGCATACCCATAATGTGCACCACCCACTAGCCTGGACTAGTTAGGGTGAGTGGTTCCTGTCAGAGCTTGTATACTCCTGGTGATTGTAATGAACTTCTTATTTGTGGTGGCATAAACTTGATGAAATAGCAGCAGATGTGATTTTAAGGAAGCCTCATCTCTCGTAGGAATCACAGTATGCGAACAGTGTTCACAATCTGCATGCAAAACACATGATGGCCAATAGCACCATGTAATCTCTTTTAATATGTGGGCTAGGGGAGCACCTTAGGAGTATTGTGAAGTCTTGGATTCAGTGCTTAATTAGACCAAGAAGAGAGCCCCATGTCAGCCATGAAAAATGTCTGTTAAGAATCTCAATGAAGGAAAGTCAGCCCGGCAGTTCTGTTGAAACAACATGCAGCCCTTCCCCCATCCATCTTGTTTGTAGAGCTGAATGCTAACTGGATGAAGCAAGATACAGTCGTCAGCTCTCTACCCAATTCTACTCTCTCTGCAGAAAGATTTAAAAAATCAGACAGGCACCATGAACCAACTGAAACGAGTTTAAATTAAGGTAAAACATGAAAGTCTTGCTTGTGTAGAGACTTCACACAAGTTCTTAATTCATGTTTTGGGGTAGGGAACAGCATAGCAAAGCGGGGCATTTAATTTGGCAATGGCTTTTGAAATGTCCAAGGTGATGGACAGTCTCTGGAAAGAGAAGGGAGTGATGGTAGCAAAAAGCACAGTAATCACAATGTAACTGAGAAAGGAGAGGCCACTGGGCATGAGCAGCCTACTTGGCTTTGCTCTCTAGCCATCAAGGGTTTTTTTTTTTTTTTAGCATTTAAGCACCAGTAGCAGACTTGAACAAAGGAAGTACCGTGTTTGCACTGCTCCTCCATGTCTTTGATAAAGTATGGAGTCATTGGGATCTGAAGAAAGAAACTCTATGGTATTCAGATGAGTCGGCATTTCCATTTCATATGAACATTTGGCAGTTCTGCAACACAGGCATGAAAAAAAATGTCATCCTGGCTGAAACTTGGCAGTCCCGGTCTCAGCCAGAAAGCAATTCCTTTTGGGAAAGGTGGTTTTTGAGTTACACAAGTGCAGGTTTTCTTGAAGAAATGTTACATAAAGACTTTTTTTTTTTATTTTTTTTTGCATTTGTTTACCTCCAAAACAGGTTCATTTTTTAAAATAAAACTTTATGCCGTTGGTCCCCTATGTGGATAGGTCACCTTGCAAAAAAAAAAAAAAAAGGCTATTTCATTTTATAAAAATGAACTGCTGCGCAGGTGGGGTAGCATTTGGTCACATAAAAAGTTCCTGTCAGTGTTTTTTTTTTAATTTTTTTAAAATCCTGTTTTTGTTTTGTTTTTTGTTTGTGGACTTGCTGTGCAATTTGCCCGGCCGCATTTAGTCTGCATACTAAACGTTAGTTTGCCCAAGTATATTTTACTTTGTGCACTTAGCCTTTTTATTTTTTGCCTTCAAGCAAATGTACTCTAGGCTAATACAGACTTTGCACTGGTGGGCCGGATTTTAGTCCGTGCACTAAATTTTAGTCCGCAGACTAAAAATAATCCGCGGATTATTTACTAAAATCAATTCCCTCACTGAAAACTACATTAGGAGTGTTAAACTGTCTAGCCAACACACAGAAGTGAGGGAGTTCACAGCTAACGGTGAGTCCTGCCATCTGTCCTCCTGGCACCTAGGCACAATAGAGCACTGCCGGCAGCCCAACGCTGGATGTGCCCTGTTGTGCTTAAGTGTTGGCATACATATTGTTGTGCACTTCACCTGTAACTGTGACTGTCCCTTGCTCTTGATGTTTAGTGTTGTACCCTTCTGTGTAGTTCTTGGTGGGTGAATTTCAGGTGGAACTGTGTTGAATTAGTGGAGCTAAAAGATGCAGGGAGTTTGCTTTATTTTTAATGTTTTATTCCAAAAGAAATAGAAAATTTATTTTAAGTAATGGGTGCGACGGTATGAGGGGGAAAAACCCACACTAAAGAGGAAAAACAAATTAAGTAATTAAGTCCATACCCGCACTCCAGAGGTGATATGTCCAGTTCTTGAAGGATCCCAAAGAGATAACGTCAACAAACAAAATCCATTGGTGGGGAAGTCAATCCAAAATGGAGAATAATCCGCGGCGGCCTGATACACACATAGGTCTCTCAAATTTGAAAACAGCCAAATTAGAAATGCAGATTAAGCCATTTTGTTTTCTCTTCAGCGCAAAATTATAATTTGCTGATATTTTTTTAAAGGAAAATAAATTCTCATGTTGTGTCTCTGGGACAGATTTATACAGGAAGAATGAGGATTCTGTGTGCAAGGGCTGCACACATTGAGACAAATTAATTTGGCCCTATTGTCTGTGGACAGAGGATTGCAAATTCTTTATGACGGGAATTCAATTATTCTTTGAGTTCTAGTTAGAATTTTTATTTCAATTTTTTATTTTTTTAGTAAATGCACTGGCATTGGAACATAAATTTAAAATAGAAATGTTTCTATACTATGCCTCACCATTGCACAATCAATTTTTTTGGCTTACACTGTGGTGAAGTTGGACTTGCTGCTATGGAGACTGATGTTTAAAGTTTCTAATTGTATAAACATTTTCTATGTCCCCACGCCATGGATTTCTTATAATATTGGATATATTTTTCCTTGCTGGACTATTCTCTTTTGGATTGACTCCCCCTGTTTGGATTATTTCACTGCATTATCAACTTTAGGACTCGTCAGGAACAGGACATTTCACCTCAGGAGTGCGGGTATGTACTTCAATGTTTTTTCAAATTATTAGGGCTAGTTTGAAATGAGGAAAGAGAAAAGCTTAAAAAAAAACCAAAAAGAGAGAAATATTGAATTCAAATGGCCATGTGTCAGATGGTAGCCAGGTGAATGTTTTCCCTTTGTGATGTCAGGGTGAAAAGATTAGATAGACTTAGAAGCTGACCCCACATTTCACTCCCTAATCAGTACTTATTTGGGGGGGGGGGGAAGGGACGTGGGTTGTGTAGGGTTTCTTGATTTGTTTTCTTCTTCTTTTTCTTCTCTCTTTGACACATTTAGTGCAGATCATTGTAATTGCTCACTCTGAGTGACTCAGTTTTCAGGCCAGACAGAGGCTGAGTGGTGGTTTCTTAAATTCTTCCAACAGATGTTGACAGAGGTTCACTAAGCTGAAAGTTTGAAGAATTTAAGGCAGTGGGCAGATGGCAGAGGGGTAGAGGGACTCTTTTTGTGAAGGACCATTTAAATGGTTTTCTGTCTTGTTTAATAAAAAATGAGGGCTTGTCTTCACTGCTAAAAAACAAAAAACCCACCCAAAACTGCCTGTTTTTCATCTTGTGGCAGCTAATGTGCAAGGAATCCAGAAAAATGCAGGGAAGACTTAAACGTAGTTTTACAGTGAGCTAAACTTGTCAAAATCGACCCGAGTCATGGGTCTAAGGCTCCCCCAGTAAGTTTACTTTATGGGGGAAGGAAATGTGCCTTGCCTTCATCACATTTTTACTTTGGGGGTAGCTCATGTTAGATTCCACGAGGTCAAAATACGCAGCCCTTTAGCAGGGAAGACATCCTAAGTCACATTCTGGGTTTGACTGTAAACTCATACCACTGCATCCATTTTGTATTGTGGTCAGTAATCCAAACTCTGGAGGCAATGGGTTTTGACCCTGAATGCAAACCATCTCTTGCTACCTCTCCACCCAAAAATACATACATTCATTTCAAGCATGGAAGTCAGCAGAAGCTTTGAGTCTGCACTGGCTGCAGCATCTTGGCAATAGTGCTAAATTAAACATTTTTCCTTACATTACTGTAGAGCCGATGATAAATAGTTTGCTACCTTCCCAGCAATCTGAACCAGACTTGCTCTTTTAGACCCTTAACTCTTTGACTCCATGAGTCAGGATTCCCTGACACGATGAGTTAGTACAGAATGCATTAGGACTAACTCAGGTGCTCCTGACCAGCTGGGTACCAAGGGGTTCAACAAATTACTTTTTAGTAAATTCATTGGTGCATTTAATTTCCATCCAGGTGAGCATAAAAGGCTTTGGTTTAAATTCTACTTAAACAAAGCCCATATGCCTGAGTCTGCCATCTGTTAGCATACAGTATACAGGCTACTTACTCCTTGGTACTACAAGGTTTGGAGTTCACCTGCATTGGTGCAAAAGCATTTTGGATTAGCTCAGTTGCATCAAAAACGCTGGCATTGGAATTGAATTCTGTCACCTCCGCCCTGCTGCTGCCTTTTTTCTCTAGTTTGTGTTTCACGTGCCACGCAGTGAAAGGAAAGGGCCTGAGGAAGGTGTTAAGGGCATGCGTGTGACTGACCAATTGTGCCTGTAATGGAATGAGATGGGGGGGAAATAGATTTTGTGTGCAATTCTGGGCATGTAGCACTGTTCTCCAAGAGCTTTGGAATACAACTGCAAGGAGGAGCTGTTGTGAACTCTCTCTGGTTTATAACCTCTCAAGGTGAATTTCCATGAGTCAAATAGTTAGCTAGCTCACTTTCAGCCATTCTCACAAATTCCAAATGTGGAGGAGTTAGTTGATAGGACACAGTGGAGAAGCTGACCAGTGTAAGGGCAAGAAGAAAAAGCACCTTGCAACTTGATCCAGAGGTTTCCTATGCTTATCCTATTGATGTCCAGTCTTGAACAGCATCCTCCATAGCAACAATCTGACCTACCTTCCAGCAAAAAAAAATCCATGTGAGGGAGGCGGTACTTTTTCTGCCAAAAATACAGGGGAGACCCTTTTATTTATATTCAGCGAATCCTGCTCATTTGCACCTCCTCCCCCCACCATATGCATGGCTGATTGCACCACTGTGTGTTTGTCCTAATTCCAATGAGTTTTCCCTCCATTCTGAGAGTTGTTTTACTTGAGCACGCTCTTGTGCTGTCTGTCACTGGCATTGCACCTTCACCTCAGCATAGCACAGCACAAGACTTTGCAATTAAACCTTTCAACCCCAGGAGCTGGATTCTTCCATCCCAACATGCTGAAGACCCAGTATGTTAGCACAAAACACCTGTTCCAACTCCTTGTGTACTGAGAGGTTTAATCGCTCAGACTTGCTGCCAGTTGGTAACAAAAAGAAACCAGCCCACACAATCGGTGTCTCTTGCTTTTTCCTTCAGGTCTTCCGACCCCGCACTCCACCAGAAGCAATCGCGCTATGTAGCCGCCTGTTGGAGTATACCCCTACTGCCCGCCTGACTCCCCTGGAAGCATGTGCACACTCTTTCTTTGATGAACTACGGGACCCAAATGTCAAGTTACCAAATGGGCGAGAGAAACCTGCACTCTTCAACTTCACCACTCAAGGTAGCCTCAGGATGTGGTGGGGCCCTCTCTTGGGAAGAAGCACTGTTCTGTTCTGTACAAATGCCATTTCCTCAACAGCAAAACCAAGAGGCAGGGCTAAGAATGAGGCAGATGGGCACACAGCAATCTCATGTTACAAATGGATGGTGCTGAGGGAGGGCAACGGGAGGCAAAAGGGTCGTGGATTTTTCTCACACTAGTAATTTTGATTCAGATTCAGTCCAGGTGACTGAACATCACTGCAAAAGGAGTCCAGTTCTCAGCACCCACAATGCAACTCATATGTTTGCTCTGTTTTAGCCCCAGTAGAGCACAGAGGGTACATTGCCTTCTCAGAGATGGCCCTGTGCCATCCTAGTTGAAGCACATTGACTAGGGAAGGTTGTACTGCTCTTGTCCATGTCACATGTGTCCTTGAGATACAATTCCTGCCAGCAAAGCCTCTTGGAGCATTTCCTGTGCCTTTCATTTGGTTTTAAAATTACTAGGAAATCTCAAATGAATTTCAAAAGTAATTTTAAGCACAGTGGAGAAGTGATCCTTATTGAACTATCCAAAGCCACATCAGGATCACACTCCAACTATCCTTGTTCACCCCGTAGAAAAGGGCATATATGTAAAACTGTCACCCTTGTGGATGAGCATATTTTATTCTCTTGGTTCACATTTGGGTTTGCCTGCTGGGGACAGAACACACAAGACATGCAGCATGCATACTTGCTGGTAACCATATGTGACTCAATTTTAAATCACTAACTGCATGCTCTGGGCACTAGACCTAGGAGGAATTCCCCTCCTTTGTTACCTCTGAGATCTGACACCCTTTCCCAGTCGGGTCATGTAGTGTGATAAATAGTATTGGTGGTGATGAGTGCCAGACTTGTCTCTTGAAAGTAGGGCATTGTCATCAATATCACTTTTAAAATATGGTACCAGTTGTGCCAGGTAACCATAGGAAGGTTACTGGCTGTTCAAGGTAGTTTTTATTTTTTAAACCATCTTTTTTCAATCCCTCATAGAAAGTGAACACATGCATAAATAAAGTTTTGACTTTGGTTCAGTATCCATGTTGGAAGCATATTGCACTGGGACTACTAAGGCATTTTCCCAGAGAAGTGACACCTTATGCCAGTTTTGAAAGTAGTTTTTTATAGTAACATGCAAGGAGGAAGAAAAGCATTGTAGTAGCTTGACCTGTAAAAAAAAAAAAAAAAGCTCTGGAAGCACCTCTGTGCCACTTGTAAAGTCCCTTGGCCTTTCCCGTCTGGTTAAAATGTTATTCAAATTTTTTTTACTCTCGTAAGAGCAAAAGAGGTGCTCTGCTGGGTCAGGCCACAGCTCAGCATTTTGTCTCATGGTGACGGAGTGGATGTGAAGAGAGAAGATTTAAGAAGAGCCCATCTAGTCTGATCCATCTACTGCTTCCAGCATTCAGAGGCCTAGGAAACCCTGTTTTGAAGGGTTGAGCACTCACAACTCTTATGTTTAATACGCACTGATGGACCTATCCTCTTTGGATTTGTCCGATCCCCTATAAGAACCCAGTTAAACCATTTTCTCATCCCCTTCCTTCCACATGGTAATACGACCCAAGGTTTCCCTGCCAGCGCAGTCCAGAGAAGGAAGGATGTTGAGTAAACTGACAGGAAACATTACAGGCACGATCACTAAGTGAGCTATCACAACCCCAGAGAAATCTGAACCCTCTGCCCATCCAGTATCCATCTTCCTGTCCTGTCCTGTCCTGAGTCTCCCATTTCTACCCCACCTCAATGGAGAGATGATGCACAAAATGATCTGTAGGGGTGGTGAATGGGATGGTGGGGGAATAGGCCAAGGCAGCTAGGATCCCCCTCAAGGAACCTGCTTCCCCATGTTTTGCAGGTGCCAGTTCCTGTATCCTACAGGAGAAAGGGCCTCTTGCAGTCAGGGTCTGTATCTGCTGCTTCACCTCAGGCCTGAATTGAAAAAAGGAAAGCTCAAAAAACTTAAATGTAAAGACTCAAGACATTTATGAGCAGTTAACATACAGGAGTTTCCATTTTCTCCTCCTCCATCTTCCACTCTGCATTTATGGTAGCACTTCTAGTGCATCCTGAAACACCATCCCCAGAGACAGCTACCTGTTCTGTCTCTGCCACGATGAGGCCATAGTATCACAGATGCTTGCGCAGAGCAGAACCAATCATTAGACAAGCTACTGGAAATCAAACACACTAATAACTGAGGCTAAAAATAACCTGCAACTGAGAATGCAACTAAAAGCTTTTTCTTTTTCTTTTTTAAAGGGTAGCTTGCAGTTTTGTTAAGAAATGCCCTGTGTTTGAGTGGGGTGCCAAACTGTGGTGTTGTCTGAGATACCCAACACAATGGGATTACAGCTGGAAATTGGGGATAGGGTAATACTGGGCATTGAATCATCCTTCCTGGGTGCTGGCAGTGGTGCTGAGCCGAATGCATCTTTCCCAAGGAGGAAGGAGTGTATGTGAAAGAGTCCGTATTTGTATCTTGTCTTTGCCGGTACTCCTAGGGATGTTTTCTCACTGGAGGTGTATAAAAGCAAGATAATCTGTTACAGCTACTCAGTTCTTTGCACTGGTAAAATAGAGATGCAGCTACTTATTCTTAATGCCTTGCTGCAAAGTTTTTTGTTTTTGTTTTGTTTTTTTTACAAGAAGTGCTTCTCGTGCAGAGCTGAATTTGAACATTTTGCTCCAAAAACGGCCTTTTCCGCCACCACCGCAGTGCAGTTCAGTGGCATCAGAGAAAAAAAATAATTTCTGAGAGACTGAATCACAGGTTTAATGCTCCAACCCTACAGCTTCTACTGTTGTTACTTTTGCCCTGGTTGATGATTGTGCTCAGTACTTGGTTATGCAGTTGTCCAGTGTTTGCCATTAAGAAGTGTAAAGTGCTTCTGTTTGAGGCAGCAGCGTAGATCTGATTTTCCTGCCTCTTCTGAGCACCGTTTTGTCAGTCTCTTAAGAAGTAAACAGCAGTCAGGATGGTGATCTGTCCTGTGCCTTCTGGAACTCCTGAGGCCCCTAACCAGGGGATGCTGGGTGGTTTTTCCCATATGAAGCACTGATGCAACTGCATTGTGGTTTTTTGCTTCTTTTCCTATGCTGCAAACTGCACTGGTTTGGCCAGAACTGAACCAAAGATGTGTTACCAGCCAAGGTATGTGGCAACCAGTCCTTGTAAAATGCCTTGGGCAGCTTTTGTATTTAGGCGCACAGTTGTGAAGTCTTTGTCTTGAATACCTACTTTGACTGCAGTGATCTCCTGCTGCCTTATCAGCTTTATTATCATTAGCACAGTATGGAATAGCACTACGTTTAGAGATTTGTTTCACAACGTGCCTGGACCAGAGATTATATGGACTTCCTCTTCCCATGGCAGCAGATAACACAGATCCTGACTTTTGCACAGTTATTTAGGCATGTCCAATCCTGGCTAGACCCAGGAAATGCAGCAGCCACAAGAGCTTGGAGAGCAAAGATTTAAATGATTTTTTAAGCAAGCCTTTTATTAAACTTCAGAAATTCTAGGTTTGTTTTGAGTTGTTTTATCTTCTGTGAATTGATCTGCACCAGTTGTTCAGAGGGTGCTAAATTGAGATCTCTTCATAGAGTGAAAGGTACCAACCAGGACTCCGGTGAACTCTGGACAGGTTGGTGGCTCCTGCTTATATCTGTGCTCCTCAAGATGGCTTTGGTCATATATGGTTTTTCCTATAGAAAGTCCACTACAGACCAGCCACTTAAAATGCAGTAGAAGGTACCTAGTGAGCAGTGCATGCTATGCTGACTTGGCACTGGAAGAGCAGCGGTGAGTTGATAACTCCAGTGATAGACCCAGTGTAGTGATCTCAGATCAGCTGTACCTTTCAGACACTGGGAGTCTAGGTGTACAGACCCAGTGTGCACAGTTAAAATGTGGTGGTGCTATCTCCAAGATATTTACTACTGTTTTGTGTTAAGAAATGTCAAGCAAAGTGAATTACAATGACTGTGCTCTTGGTTTAGGTAGCATTCCTGTTGCCCCTTCCTCCCCTGCATTTGATGCCCACGATGAGGAGAAAAGTATGTACTTGAGCACCAGTAGCTGTATGAAAGAACAAGGCAACCAATGGGTTTCTTTGAATACCAGATTTAAGAATTTATTCTGGGGAAGGCAGCAGAGATGGTGCCCGTTCTATAGGGAAGGGGCTAGTGGCCTGATTGCCAGGCTTCCTGTCTGTCTTTGGGAGGTCACTTACCTTCTGTGCCCATCTCCATGTTTGGAAATGGAGATCTTACTTAGTATCTCACAGGAAGCTGTGAACATTATTTAGGAAATATTTGTACAGCACTTTGAATAGTTAGCGCCTTCGGGAAGCATGGTTTTGGCTGGTTAGCCCTGAAGGTGATATGCTTCAGGCTGAGTTGTCTGGTTTCGGTACTGTAGCAAATCTTGCTCATTTCCTGCTGGTCCAAATCTGTGTTTTTTGGTGCCGAGGCACAGCCAGAAACACAGACTTCAGGGGATAGTAAAAAAATGAAACGTCCTTCTGCAGCTCACCTTCTCAGCCATTACTCCTTACGGTTTTCTTATGGAGAAAAGGGAGTAAACAAATGAATATTGGCAGTCCCTTTAGACCCTGAATTTTAACGTACATGTTACAGAAAAAACAATGTGCTCTCTAATTTGCTGTTACAGATATAAACAAGCAGTCCACGAAGCGCGTTGTACCGCACCATCCTGTGTGCATGTAGCGTGATTAGGCTGGGTTTCTTTACATACTTCTCTGTCTGGAGAGCTGCTATTAATACCTACTCTCTCCAGGCATTTCTGTCCCCCAGGAGAGTTCTTGGAGCCCCAAGAGCTGGCTCCTCCTTTTCTTGAGGTGACTGGCTGTGTGTAGCTTACTGTACAGGTGATGGCTTTCACTCAAGGCTGAAATGGGCTAGGGGGAGATAGGGGACAGGGAATCCTCTATCTCTGCATCCCTTATTTGCCTGAAGAGAGGTGCTCCTGCAGGCTGCCTGCAGTGGCAGCACCTGATGTCTTAGCTCTACCCCAGTGTGCTTAAAATTTAATTCTGTGGCAGGAGGCTGTTTCTTCTTCCCATATGCATCAAGTCTGTGCTAGCTCTGGCACCCAAATAACCCAGTTGTTTCTTTTCTCTGAATTTGAGTTGGAGGGAAGTCCTGTGGCAGTTTGTTTTCCTTTTAAATCACCTGGAAAACCAGTCCCCTTGGCTTTTTCTCTGTGCCTTCTAGAGGTGCCGTGAGTCGTGTCCCGTTCGCCTCCAGGCAGCATTCAGGGTGATTCTGCTGTGAAACTGTCCTGAGACGCTGACAAGTGAAGCTTGCGTGAGCCCTAGAGCAACTCCCTAGAGTTCTTGGAGCCCCTGTGGCAAATGCTTCCTGAGCCATTGCCCAGCGTGTTGTCACTAGCCTTCTCCTTCTGACTGGCTGCAAGACGGTGATTCTGTGGAAGAAAAGGGATCCTTTTTGGAAAGCTCAGGCTGTTTCCAAGGAACAGGCGTGGTTGGATTGTTTGCTAACTCCAGAGCCATCCCCTTTCTCTGGGAAAGAAGTCCCCTGCATTGCTGCTAGTAGTTGCCAGAGAGGTTCATGCTCCCTGCTAAATATCACTATGGTTTCCTCCTGCTCAGTGACCCAGAAGGAAGTGTAACATGTCCTTTGTCTGTCCAGCCATGCATTTCACTCAGGGTTACAGTGACTAAGAAGCCCAGGGAGTAACTCTGCATGCAGAGGTTCTTTACAAACTGCAAGCTAAATCTGTTTGTTTCGCCTTCCCTCCAGAACTGTCAAGTAACCCATCTCTGGCTTCGATCCTCATCCCTGCTCATGCTCGGAATCAAGCAGCTGCTTCAACCCCTACAAATGCTACAGCAGCCTCAGGTGAGAACGTCCGCCTGCCTGTCTGCCTCCCTCTTGCCCTCCTCTCTCTAGCTAAACTCCCATTCAGAAGCTTAAATAATGCAGGCTGCTGGGGCAGAGAGGAACAGCTCATTTCCAGCCTCCTCTTAAACTCTGTCTTGTTAGGTGATTAACTGGCTGTGGTACTAAGGGCAGCACTAACTCATGTCATTTGGATTCCACACCCTCCTGTCTTGCTCTGATTTCTGGTACAAAGAAGTGGAGTATTATTACCTCACCATCGCCACTCCTATAATTGCACCAACCTAGAGATCCACCCAGGTCAATTAGTTTGAGATGCTGAAGGAAAATACTGTTGGCCAGCTTAGTAAATTTAGCTTTGAAATGTTAATTTCCCACCAAATTCTGACAGTTGATGGTGGACGGACAGGATTTCCTGGTAATGTGCAGTCTGTTAGCACCAGCCAAAAGGGATTCACTGTCAGCAGAAGAAAGCCATTTACATGAGTTTTCTTACATGGGTGCCATTGTGTCAGCTTTGGGCACCGAAGCATGGTTTGGCTTCTTGCCCCAACTCTGTGCATGGTTTCCTCCTTTGTCTCTGTCTCTCCTTTCTGTTAGACACCTTCAAAACCTCCCTGTTGGCCTGGAGCCATACCATGCTGAGCTGTGATCCTGTCAGAAAGTGTTAACCATGGGGTGGGTATCCGCTCGGACAGGAGACCTCCAAGGGAAACACAGTGTGCTACAGGATGTGTGGTTGGTGACTCAGCATGCAGCCCTCCCCCCCCAGTCAGTGCTGAGTCAGCACACTGGCAGAGGATCCCTGCTGTGGACAGTGGTGTCTGATGAACTGGGAAGTGTATGAGCTTAGTGCATTATTTCACCCTTCTGTCTGACGTGCATGTCAGTCGCAGAGCACTGTGGAATCTATACAGACAAAAGGCACTGCTATATAAATGTGCCTAATGTACTCACTGTGTTTGCATCAAAAAAGGGGAGCTCTGGCATTCAGGTTTCATAGATAAATCCAGGAAAGTGTAATTTGTGAATAGGCCAGGTAATTATGGAGTTGTAACAAATTTGATATAGTTTCTTGATAGCTTCATGCTTTCTGATGCCTTGCAGAAAACATCTTGACAGTCTAGTTTAAATGGGTATCGCCAAGTTTAAAAAAAATTACACTTCTCTTTACAAACATTGTGTGTAGTAGGAATCCATGATTCTTGTGCTTGCAGCAAGCAGAGCAAAAGCTGACCCGCTGCTTGCATGTAGCTTGCTTTGTGCAGTTGTTAACTCTTTGCAAGCAGTCAGCTTCTCTGTTTCCTCATTTGTGTGGGTCTTCCAGGTGGCCGTAGAACTGAAAGATATTTGCTTGTTTTGTCATGTTTGATTGTAGACCTGCAAAAATTGAGAGTAGGGAATAAATTTTATTTTTTTAAGAGACTACAATTTCCCGTGGTTGTGCATCCCTTGAGCATGGTGTGCAGTATGACTTTCCTGCACACAGGCACAGAGCGGGGGAGAGAGAGAAACTCCTGTGCACTGAAGCAGGAGGTGTCCTGGCCGTGCTCAGTTTGACCTCCAATGGTTCATGTGGGGAAAAGCGCTTTGGGCTGTGACCTAAATGTCAGTCAAGAAAGTGGCTTTTTAATGTCAGCATTTCTAGCCCTACTGTTAACAGCCACTGTACTGCTGAGCGAGGACGGTGACTTTGATCCTGATGAGAAACCCTCCAGCAGTAGAGGAATTGCGAAATGTAGTTCAGTATTAAGTAACTTTCAGTTGCAACTTGGAGCCTCTTGTATATGCAGTTGTTTGGCTGACCTTGGCCCTAGTCCTTTATAGTCCTTACTCATTCAGGGTTCTTACAGCAGACAGTGGGAATTTTACCTGCATTCAGCTATGGAAATTAGTCACACACCTCTTTACAGGAACCTGTTTTGCTTAAAGGCTGGTGAGCCATCAGGTTCTGCTAATTGTTAACCACTGAAGCAGCATGGGATCAGCCTTGTTTCCTCACAGAGGATGCCCACCTGCGCCTGGGAGAGTTTTGCACAAATGTTTGCCCTCATAAATAAACTGTTTCCGTACCCTTTTCACAGTTGCCAGGAATTAGCTGACTAAATATATCAGGAGATCCCCAAGGTAAAACAAGCTGTCAGGTAATTGTAACCTTTGATAATTCAGTGTAGCATTTTGTCCCCCTCTAGTGGCCAACTTGCCTACAGGGATTTGAGTCCACTGCTGTCTCCAAACCATGGACCAGGCCCTTGCACTCCAGCAGCAGGGGCTTTAAGAAGTAGACTCCCCTGCTATGGGCCTTATGGGTGATCCAGCTGGGGTACCCCTATACAAGTAGTCACATCTGATAGTGCTGCCATGTAGCTGTGATGAGGTGATTACAGAGTGATTTTTAAATGTGCTGAATGATGTGCCTGAAAAATGAGAAGGCTGTGCTGATGAAAACTGGGAGAAGGACCCAGTTTGGGTCAGTGTTAACATTAATGTGATGGAGCATTGCTTTCCTCATGCATCTTTCCTTCATGCAGAATAAGATGGTGTTTAGAAAGTTACCTCTCAAATAGCCTCTGAGGTCATGCTTGCTAGTCTGGCTTCCTTTCCCTGGGTTCCCTTGCTGTGTAACCTTCCCTGTTACAGTAGTATCTTGAAAATCCAATCAGTCCCCTAGTGCTAAAACCTATATCAGCATAGGCCTGTGCTTGTTTTATCAGCTTTATCAGGCTTTAGACTGGATTCCCCTCCCCACAACACCATTTCTTTTGGTTTATTATAATATAAACCAGGATTTTATTAACAGAATAATATGGTGGCCATTTGTGTATGTAAAGTGTAAAAACACCAGGGTTGAATCGTGCATGCAAGACTCAACTTGACCTTAACTATAGAGTCACAGCCAGCCTCCCCAGTTGTAAAAATTATTTTGTATACGTGGCATTTATATATTACCTCTATGTAGTCACAGTGAGTGTCTGACTTATACCGGCTGAGCATCTGGATTTGTACCATTCTACATCAGATGGGGATCTGGTGGGTGGGTGGGTGTGCACGTGCTCGCTCACACATTTCCTGGTGCCACGTTATGATACTTACGTGGAACTTGCATTTGTCCTATACCATAGACCATGTCACCTGCACTTTGCTCACTAATTAATACCTCCCAGGACTTTTCCTACCCCTGTAGCTTTCAGATAGGATCCATCTAAAACAGAGCTAACTACCGAGTGGCTGGGGACCACATCTCCCTTCTCCTTTCCTCCCCCACCAGTGCAAGCCACATCCCACCAGGCTTCACATTGTGCCATATGGGCTGCCTCCACTACATCAGCACACTCGCACTTTGTGGGATCCTTGGGTCTCTGAGCCCTTCCCCACCCATCCCACTCTCCTTCAGGTCTAGGGTCCCTCAACCCAGCAGGCCTTACCACCCCCAGGACTGGGGGCAAGAAGTAGAAACTGGAGGAGAGAGGGGGAGTGCAGAAATACCAGCAGCAGGAGAGTGATGGGGAAAGCAGCACCTGAACTGGGAGCCTGGGGGCTACATGTGGCTTGCGGGCCACCAGTGAGACTGCCGTGACCTGAAACTGGCGGAAGAAAAGCTGGCCAGATAAACATTTCTTAATTTCAAAAGAATATCTGCCTAATTATTTAAGGTGAGTAGTACTCAGTTCTTTGAGTGCACAGCACTTACCTTTAGTCTGTGAAATACCAGACTTGGAAGTGATAGGGGAGTTTTACTATAGTTGATTTTTAAGACATCTGTAAAATGTGTTGGTCAGCAGTTTCTTCTCTTCCCGAGGCCTGTGCATCAGCCCTGTGGTACAAAGGGAAGCTGACCATACTTGCTTCCAAAACCTATCTGTAAACTCACTCACACGTTCTTCATGAAGGTTTCTGTGACAGTGTGGTGGGTCTAGAGCACAGGATGGTGCAAGTTAGGAATGATCGTTTCCTTCACAAAAGGCTTCTCCATTTATGAATGACGTGGGCCATTTCAGAAATGGAGGGAACAGAACACACATCACATCATGTGTGCCTCTGTCAATAAGGAAACAAGGCAGGTAGCTGTGCTGTGAGTCAACATTACTATGCTTAGGGTGTGGTTGCCGCCTGCATGTGACCCTTGCCAGCATGGATCGTTTTGTGATGCATCATGCTGTGCTAATCCCCTTGAATCCAAAGTGAGGCCAAGCACCTACATCTTCAGCAGCAAAGTGGCACAAGCTGGCCGGCCATTGCAAAGCAATTGTACAGAGCCACAGTGATCCTCATTCGAAAGTGATATTTAGCAGATGCATGCAACTTCCTTTTGAAAGTATTTTGAGAGATTTGAATTCTCCCCACTGAGGAGAGCAGCAGGCAGTTTTCCTACTAGAGAAGGTACAGCCAAGCGAGGTGAACTAACTTGTCTGCAGTTTGCTTAGTGAGTCATTGGAAACTTGGGAGCCTCTGGGCCACTAGAACACAGGCCCAGAAATGTCGCACGTGTCTCTGAATTTCACAGCAGCTCGCTTGTTTTAGTTTTGCCCCACCCAACTGCTCGAGGCTTGCATTGTCCCACAGGACCTGGGGAGCCAGTTGCAGACTCGTGCGATGTGCTCTTCCAGCTCTACAGTGCAGTACGCTGGGTACCATTCCCAGTCCCGGCCAGTTTGGCCCTCTAGGTTTCTTATTCCAAGCTAACATGGTGAGGGGAATCTTATGCTGAGCTGCAGCTCATCCTAGGTGGGCTTCTTGCTGAAAGGACCCTGAGAGCACTGTGTATGTACCCCAGGAGCAGCACCCCACGCCCACCCCCCCTCCTTCCCCCACAAGGAAGTGAAACTAGGGGGAGGATCTATGAAATGAGGAACAAGAGCTTGCCCACCCCCTTGAAAAAATTGCAAGGACAAGGCCTAAATCCAGCAACCCCCCGCCACTCCTGTTTTTTCTACTCAGGGCAGATTTGCCAGGATGACGTACTGCAGCCAGGCACCTGCTCTCATTGTCTTGCCTCAAACCACACCTGTAGTCCTTGGCTGCAGCACAGCACGTAGTACCTACTTGCAGTCACCTCTTCAGCGGGGGGAAGCGTAATGGAAAACAGCAGACACCACAGCCAGAAGGACGTTGCATCCCAGTATAGAACCTCATCTACAGAAAGGCTGGCTGATTGCTGTTTCCCCATGCTGCTGCACCCAGCTAAAAAGCCCAGGTGGTGCATTTCCTGTGGGTTCTTAGACCGTGCAGCTCTGGAATGGGGCGTCTACAACACGTTCGGTCTGCGGGCATGTGAAGCGGGCTCCTTGGGCAGCCTGTAGCCTGTCCTGGATAGGAGGGGCTTTTGGGTATTGTTATGGAAGAGCTGCATGTGGATGAGCCTAGGCTACTTGCTTATTGATTTCTTCCCTTAATATGCATAGTGGAAGGTAACAGGTGCTGTGCAGGACCTCCTGCCTTCAGCCTGGTCCCAAGAGAGAGAAGCGGGGGGCAGAGCTTTCCCCATTCTTCTGTCTCAGTTGACCACTAATCCATTAACCTTAATTGCAACCTCCACTGTTATTGGGCAGCACATTGGTTGTCTGTACATCCCAGCAAGCAATGACCGAAACACAGTTCATGTACACAAGAGGTCTTCGGCCATTACTGCTTATCCCCTGAACTGCTGTTCCCTGCCCATTATGGCAGAGTTAACTAGTTGGGGTTTATGCACAGGTGAAAGTTAATCTGGAATAAGGGGTGGGGGGCAACGGGAAGCACATTATCTGTTCCAGGTTAAATTTCTGTATGCACGCTCTCAGTCTGCACTAAGAATGCCCTAGTCCAGGTTAGCTTTGGAAGTCAACGTTACCATGCTGTACTCAGGGCATTGCATGATGAGCAGCTGCTTGCTATGGGTGCTGGCCGTCTTACAGGTTCTTCCTGGCCCAGCCCCACGGTTTGCACTTGCTTCATTCCCTTTTCTTTACATCAGTCTAATCTCTTCCCTTTTTCAAATGAGCCCATTTCCCTTAGGGTTTTTGTACTGTGCTGTTCATCCACTGTTGTGCTGTACTGTGTTGAGGCAGCTCTTTAGACAAGGGATCCTCAGATAATACAATCCTCCTCAGACAGTATGATCATTCAGCTTTTATAGTTGATGTGATTGTTTTTTGTGGCTGGGGTATGTCTACTCAAGTCATCATGCCCCATGTGGATCTTCCATTACTGCCTCTTCCTGACAGCTTTTTCAGCATCCACAGCTTTTCTTCATCTTCAACCAGCCTGGTTCCAGTATGCCCATACTAACCCCAAACAGCAGCTTTCTAGCTTCTGTGGCACTGTACTAGGCAGGTGAAATCCATACATTTTTTTCCACTATTATAGTTTCATGTAAGAATGTTTTTTGTTTTCTTTTTCAAAGGTTATAGTCAATTGCCAGCAGTGGTGATCTTTATACAAGTTTCTGCATTTGTTGTTTCTAGCACCTTTCCCAGAGTTGAAGCTGAGTAGTCAGTTAACAGCATTATGTCTCTCTTACCTGCTTTTTCAATAAGTGTCTTCTCGGGTCACCTTGTCTCACCTGCTCTCCCAACCAAATGCTCAAGAATGAACCAGTGCAGCCCCTGAGATTCTCTCTGGAAGGGCCTGAGGGGTCACAGCACAAAGCTGCTGCTTGCCAAAAACCTTTTTGTCTTGTTAAAAATAAGGGAATTTATACATCTCCTGACACAATAAGTGGAAGTGGGCAGTTGGAACGGCAGGGTTTCCAGATAAATGGAGAAAAAGGTTCTTTTGCTGCTCCATCTTGTGAATCATTCTGACACACCCATGATATGCCTTCAGTTCCCTGCCCATGAAGTCGTGTGGTCCCAGGAAGGGAGGGAGCGACTGTGAGCGTTTCCTGCCAGGTGCTGATCCCCGTAAGAATGCTACATGATTGTGTTAAACCTCCTTTCCTGGCTCCAAGCCTTGACATTAATCTGCTTCAGCAGCAAAGATGGTGGCAAGTCCAACTTGGGTTGAGCAACACAGAATAAAGCAATAGACTCAAAAGACATTTATGGAGGCAACAAGTACATGCACATTAACAAACAAGCTGTTTCTACCAGATACATTGGCCAGTTACTTCCGTTGTCTGTGATTGTTTGCATACTTCACAGATGGTTTTGCTACTAGTTGGACACACTATATATGTAGGCTTGGTAGGATTTTGTTTTTATTGGTAAACATTGATTTCACCTCTCACTCACAAACGGACTAAAACAATTTCCATCGTTAATAATTGAATTTTATAGAAAGGGAACATAAGAATAATGGATGGCTGTTGGAGTGTATGACGGCAGGGGGAGCAGTCCTACAGAAGCGTGCTGACTAGTTTGGACTGTGACTCCCAGAAAGCCCAGGGGACAAAGGAGGAAGAAGTGACAAAGTGGACAAGGGAGCTAGGGTGAGCAGAGCCAGGACTGATAGGAGTCCTGCTGCTCAGCTGGCTGGAGTCCTACAGTAGTTACATGTGTTGCAGCAGGCAGTTAAACTGCACAATCCTGAAAATTCAGTTTCTAGGGTCGGGAAGGGTCCTGAAGAGATCATCAAGTCTTACCCCCTGCCCTGGGCAGGAACGAGTGCTGGGATCATAGTACCCCAGCCAGATATCTATCCAGCCTCCTGTTGAAGCCCCCCAAGGTAGGGGAGAGCACCACCTCCCTTGGGAGCCCATTCCAGAGCCTGGCAGCCCTACCCATAAAGTCCATAAAAATAAAAATAAATGCTTAAAAGTAAACTCATTCAGGACTCATGGTAGAGGTGATATCCTTTATTAGACCAACATATTTAAAAAGAAAAAATTCTAGTTGGTCTAATAATAGATATGACCTCTACCACAAGTCAAGATTGTTTATTCCTCTGGACCAGTACAGCTACAACCTCGATACCTAAAAAATAAATATCAATTTTTACCTTTTTAAATAATTAAAAAAGTAAAAAATTCTGCCAAGCCTAAAGAGAAGGCCCCAGCACTTGTGTGAAACCTTGTCAGAGCCATAGTTTCTTGAAGTATTATGTTTGGCAGCACTAACGTGCCTTGTCAGACCAATGAAGTTACTGAATTGCAACATGACCCTGTGCAGAGTGGCAGGCTTTCCCTTCAGGCTGCCTGTGGTTTCCAGCTGCTGCATGCTCTTAGCTGAGTCCTGGCACCTTGGTGAGCCAGCCTTTAAAAGAGCTTTTCTGCGGGTCTAGTTGAGTCCAAACCTGCCTCCAGGTGGCTGCCCGCTGAATCACTTCCTCCACCCCCGGATGTGTGGTCAGGAGAGCAGTCCCCTTGCGCTTCACAGCACCCCGAGGCAGGGCCCAAAAGCACTTAGCCTGGTACAGCTGCAGGCTCATGTCAGAAGTCAGAGCTGGTGACTGACAAGCCTGTTTCTCGGAAATAACATTGCTTTGTACCCTCCCCTTTGTTGTTCGCAGATGTTAACGCAGGAGAGCGAGCTCAGACCAATAGCGCAGCTTCAGCCTCCGCCTCCAACTCCACCTGAACGGGTCCCGAGCAGCCAGCTGCACAGGAAGAATCACCAGTAATTTGAGTCTCACTCAGCAACACTGGTCACATTTGGAAAGAAAATTAAAAAGAGGAAAAAAAACAAACAAAAAACAAAACCCAACAACAAACCTGTTCATTTTAGTGTTCAATTTTTTTATTATTATTATTGTTGTTCTTATTTAACCTTGTAAAATATCTATAAATACAAACCAGTTTCATTGTATTCTCACTCTGTGGGGCCTCCTGGGCAGGGGAAAGGGGTTGGGGGGCGGGGGGAGGGAAAGTGGAGCAATAGAAACACGCCAATGTCTCTTCCCTCGACAATCTCTTCATATTGGAAGTTTGCTGTTGTGTACTTCAGAACCAGGACTCTTGCCTCATGCCCCCTCCCACAACAGAAAGAAGGAAAAAACCTCATTCTCTGCTGAAGTTCTCTCTCTCTCTCCTCTCTCTTTTATTTTTTTTAACCTCTTTTTTATTTTCTTTTTAAGTGAAGTTTCAGACTTTGGTGTAGTGCACAGCTTGAATTTGGTCGGGAGCTTAGCAGGGGTCATTCAACAGAGCTCAGTGCTCCTTGTAAGCCAATCCATATCCTAAACTAATCTGAAAAACTGCCCTTGGCTGGGGCTGAGGAGAGGAGGAAGCGGGAAGGCGAGATTTAGCTGGGGGGAAAAGGGGGGTGGGGGTTACTATGTGGCTGGAGCTCGGTGCTGCTAGTGGAAGGCTTCCATTTAAAAAGTCAGTGCTAGCAGTGAGGAAATCTGTAGCTTCATTACGGGAAGAGTCTCCCAAGCAGGCTGTATATAATATATACACACACAAGCACATGCAGTTAGCTTTACTGAGACGCAGCCTACCTGTGTCATTGGAGCTCCTCCAATGGGCCTGTGGGGTTTTTTGTTTTTAACAAGCTGCAGGAGGGCATGTGGGGAGTGTGGGCAGCTGTGATCTTCAGCAGAGAGAAGCAGAGGCACCCAGTCCTGTGGCAGGGGGGCTCACTGGAAAAGGGCCGCTGTTGAAAGCATTTCCCCCGTTTCTCAGTTGGAACTGGCTTCCCTTTCCTGAGGTGCATAGAAGAAAAAGACACCAGGGTGGGTGACGCCAACCGTACCAGTCTGCTGGTTTCTTTGTCTGGTTTTTTTTTTTTTTTTGTCTTTTTTCGTAATACAATTTGAACTTGCTGAATGCCACCTCCTCCAGTAGTTCCCATTTTAATCTGTGGCTAGCATCTGTATTTAATTTCATCTTCCTTTTTTTTTTTTTTTTAAACTTCCTGCTTTTTTAACCTTTATTTATTGTTGCATGTCACAGTTGCCATTTTGATGTTTTTACATTGGTAGACTCTTAATAAAAATACGCATCTGAGTGATATCAACAGTACCTTGTACCTGCTGACTCATGGGGAAAGCTGGCTCCAGGAGTGTGTGCGTGCGTGCGTGCGTGCGTGCGTGCGTGTGTGTGTGTGTGTGTGTGTGTGTGTATATTATATAAATATATACATGTATACATAGATACAATACTGCTTTTTTATTTTTATTTTGTCTACAATCTTGAAATGGTCTGATTGGTGCATGAAACGAATGCCTATTCCTAGTCTACATGTTTTAAGGGTTTTATTCCCATAGTGGTGAATGGTGTGAGAATCAAAGTCTCCGTTTCTGAAGTTTAAAGCAATATTCCTGGGGAAGGGGCAGGGGAGTGACTACATTGCAGCTGTAATGTATGAAATAGACTATTGAGACCTGGTCAGTCATGCACGTGACGCTGGTGTCCACATGGGCCTTATACTTATTCATAGAAACCTTTAGTCGCCTTGGTGCTTCTGAGCAGTTTATTTGACCTGCGGCGCTTTCAGGCACGATCCGTTGTTGTTGGCATTGACGGCCCTTCTGGTGCAGCCCAGGAGTAGCCAGCAGTAGCAGCTTGCACAGGGCAGCAAGAGTTTTTTGTTTGTGAGCTCAGTGTGTTTCCCCTCCTTGCGCTTCATATTTACCCCTCTGTGTGGGATTTCTTAAAACTGTCTCTTGCCAGTAGAAGCCCCTTCTGCCCTGCCTAATAAATGGTAGGTTTCAGGAGGGGAGGAGTCATCTGCAGAGATGAGCGGATAACTGAAAAGAAACTGATAATCCACTTTAGTTATACCTCTTATGGTTTGGCTGTTGGGCAGCCAAAAGCATTGTAAGCAGCTCTGGACAGATTCCAGCATAATATAAGGGAAAACCTACGTTTAAATAAAGCAGAGTCAAAAACCACCCTCAGAACCAAGGAGGAGTCTGTAATCAATGTACGAGGCCTCAAAAAAAGGTGGCTTAATGCAGGAATTGGGCCTGTGAGTGTCCTGAGGACTGGGAAGATGTGCTTGAGAGAGGAGAGAGCTGAGGAATTGGACATAGACACTCTGGGCTCGGAGACGATGGAGCACCAAGTCCCTGAACGTCGCTGCTTGTTTCAGGAAATGTCACGGGTGGTTTTGGCACATTTTTGTTTTTTTCTTGTCCTTCAAGACTGGTGGGGGAGGAGAGTTAAGAGGTTTTTCTTTCATTCTTCTAATATTATTCTGTGAGTGTGAGCGTGCGTCTCCGTGTGCACATACGCTGGAGTCCCAGTAGTTTTATTTTTCTTCAAGGATCATGGCAGGATCACAAACTCTTTTATACAAGTGAGATCCAGGTCTTTGAATAACCTTTTTTTGTAAATAAGGAAAAAAAAAATACAAAAAACAGAAACAAAGCCCTCACCAAATTCAAGCTTGTACATTATTATTTTTGGTTGTTTTTAAATTTTGAGTTGTATTGTTTTTGTATGTAAATATGTGGACCCAGGAACTGTTATTAATGAGCAAAAAGTTACCGTTCAGGGCAGTGATTCTGTTTAATAATCAGACAAAATGTAGACGAGCTTTTTAAAGCCATATAGTTTTAACTCTGTACAGTAGGTACCGGCCTGTATTATTGTAACAATAACTCTAGCGATGTATAGTGTATCTATATAGTTTGGAGTGCCTTCGCTTCCATGATTTTTTGAATTTTATTTCCCTCTTTTTGTCCTTTTTTAACAGATGTCTCCCACATAAATCTGCATCTTTGCTCCCGTGCTTTCTAACTCTTTTGAGTGCTGTAAGGTTTCAGTGATACCATGGTCAGTAGTGGAACGAAAGGAAACCATTATTGGTAACTCATTTCATTCAAGCCGTGGCTTTGTTCTGGATGTGTCAGTTGCTCACCCCACCCCACTCCCGATAGCAGTGACCGGTTTCGTTTTTGCACTTGCCCTCTTGGCATCTAGGAGCCTAGTGGCTAGATTAGATTTTGCTCGTCTCTTCCCCAATCCCTGCATCCAGAGGTCTTCCAGGAGCCTTTGGGTTTCTTGAGGGTCTCCCTTTCGCTGTGTTCAAGAGGGAGCGAATTGGGCTTTACAACAAAAAGGATCTTTTCCCTAAACAGCCCAGTGTCCTACAGTGATGGCCTAGCAGGCCACAGAGCCACCATTGCGAGTCGTGGGGCGCGGTGGCTGTCACGGTAGAACACTACTGAGCTTTTCTAGGAAGGGAAGCACCTGTTCCCTTTTTTCCCTCTTCCCCCATGCCCTCCCCAAAGTCATTTTTGTTTTCTTAAGACGATGAGTTGAACATTACTCTTGATTTCTTGTGCCCAGCACAAAAGCCTTGTTTCTAAGATTAGTTTGCTTGTTAGTATTTCGCATCAGATTGTCTTGAATGGGAAAACACTTAACTCTTTACCAAACCAAAGGTTGCTGTTTTTTTTGAACCATCTCGTGTTCATTCCAGTGAGGCAGAGGCTGCACTTTCTTTCTGGTGACACGAAGGTCAGTGATGTCAAATTTGTTTTTAATAGTCCATTCGGAATTGTTACTCTTTTTCTTCTTTTTTTTTTTTCAGTTTTATTTTTTGGCTTGTTTTTAATGAAGTATGGTCTTGATCTGTCATTTCTGTCTACTCTGCAATTGCATACGTCTCCAAGATGGAATTGATTACAATCTCTGTGTCCCCTATTGGACGTCAATAAAGACACTGGTATTTTAATTTCAAGTCTATGTACCTTTTTAGGAAAATTAATGTGAATGCTCACGTAAAACATCGATGTTTTTAAAACAAATTGGCTGATGCAATATCTGTGTTCACTTTTTTTGTTCTTTTAAACCAGGTTTTATCTAAAATAATGGCAGATGCCTGTGATTTGCAACTGGTGATCATTTAAAATTTTCCCAGACTAGTAATACAATAAACTTAATGTACTTTAAAATACAATAATTCACTAGTAATTTTTTCTCTATTAAAAATCTCAGCCATTGAAGGTTAAAAAAACCAAAAAAAACAAGAAGTAAAAGCACAGTAGAGGACTCAACCCAGGATTGACCTTTTTGCGGCTATGAAAAGGCGTGCCTGGTGTTCCAGATTCTTTCCACAGGGGTTTTAGCCAGTTTTGTTTGTAGCTTTTCGTTTTGCAACACTGCAATAAAAGCAAAACGATAAAAAAAAAACAAAACAAAAAAAACCCAGTACCTAAAGGGTTAGCTCAAGAAAAGTAGCTTCCTTGTGTTGTTCTTTCTCAATTTATTTTTAATATAAATATATATATATATATATATATAAAAAAACACATATTTA